ATATTACTGTATTATATTACTATTATTTAAAATATATAACCCTGTCAAAAAGAGAAAACTTTTATTAAAAATTATTATATAAATAATAGAATTATATTCTATTATTCTTCTACTATTCTTTTTCCATTCTAATGTTTGAAATTCCCACTTAATTTTGATGAGCTTGAATGCAGAATATTTCAAAATCAGAAATACGTGTTTTTTTGATAACGAAATTGTGCTATTGTGTATATCACTGCATTTATTTTGTCATTTTGCTAATTGATTCTAACCAATTTTTAACCAATAATGCAATTTCGAAAAGTAATTTTGTAATATAATTACAGAAAAAATAGGCAAAGGAACCAGCACAGTAAATATGTGCAAAATTTTTTTATTAAAACTTACAGCATTTGCGGACGTTTCGGTCCCTTTTTTTGGACCCTCCTCAGCGCGAAAATATAAATAAATAAGTAATCAGAACGGTCTATCATAACGGTCTAACGCACGGAAATCGCTTTAAATAAGTGTAAAAATACAGTAAAACGCAGGGAATGTCAATTATGTTAAAAAAACGGAAGTCAAAAAAAAATAAAATTAGACTGAGTATATCCGCATCCGTCATCCGCAGGCTGTGCCTCTCCATTGTTATAATATGGTTCAGAATCTAATATCCTAACATCGTTCCATTTGAAATCATGATTAATCTATGATTGGTAATAACAAAATGAGCCGATATGTTTCGTCGTATGTACTTTCTGTCGCAACATCCTTTGTGCCAAAAAGAGGTACTATTGTAGGCCTTGTGGATAGAGCATTCTTGCTTTCTCATCCTCGGTTCCATCAAAAAAATTTAAATTTTATTATTAATATTTTACTTGACAACAACTATCCATTAGATTTTATATTTACGACTCTTCAAGATAGACTTAAATATTTATTTATTAATTATAATAAAAACAACCATAACTCGTTTGATGAGACTGACGATACAAGAAAAAAATTTTTTACGATTCCATATGTCCCATCCATCTCTGAGCGATTTAAGAATAAAGGATTTGGACGTTAGACTTTCTTACTTTAGTTTAAATAAACTACATCGTTTCATTAAAGTACAAAAAAATCTGATACCTAAACCAATTTGCAGTAATATTGTTTATAAAATAGAATGTAATAACTGCGATGCGTATGTTGGCCAAACGAGAATTGATGAACACCGAGGCAATTACAAACGAGAATTGATGAACACCGTAATCACATACGACGAAACACATCGGCTCATTCTGTTATTACCGATCATAGATTACATTTTAATCATGATTTCAAATGGAACAATGTTAGAATATTAGATTCTGAACCATATTATAATAAGCGCCTAATATCTGAAATGCTTTTCATTAAAAGACAAGATAACAGTTTAAATTTGCAAATGGATACTGAGGCGTATGTCAACGCGATAAACAGGCTCCCGAAAGTGTGACTTGCGGTTCCTTAATATTTGTATACATTACCCTAGACATAACACAGACATTATATACATATATTTGTATTCGTTCGCTCTTTAAATTGGTTTTAAACTTAGTACTGGTCACATCGCGTCTACTGTGCACGAGTTACACGTTATGTTCTATATCTTTAAATTTGTACACATGCGTTTTATTGTTTATTAATTTTAAACGTCTGACAATTGTGATAATGCGACATTCAACAATGTTTCGGATTAATCTATCTCTATGTAAGTCTTCACTTTGAAATGTCTCTGTTAGATGTGTGTCCCTATTTAAAAAAATTTTTATTGTTCAGATATGCATGCTCTTTTTCACGACATACGTTATGGAGATAGCTGTCTTGACTGATTATGGTCGTATTTACATCTCTACTGTTTAGGAGCAATGGAGAGGCACAGCCTGCGGATGACATATACTCAGTCTAATTTTATTTTTTTTTGACTTCCGTTTTTTAACATAATTGACATGCCCTGCGTTTTACTGTATTTTTACACTTATTTAAAGCAATTTCCGTGCGTTAGACCGTTATGATAGACCATTCTAATTATTTATTTATTTATATTTTCGCGCTGAGGAGGGTCCAAAAAAAGGGACCGAAACGTCCGCGAATGTTGTAAGTTTTAATAAACAAATTTTGCACTTTCTTACTGTGCTGGTTTCTTTGTCTATTTTTTCTGTAATTATATTTTTAATGTGGAACCTTTAAGTATTTATATTATTAATTTTATAATGTATGGACAAATTCAGCATAAAAAATAGTCTTTATTTTCTATTCTCGTCAAAATTTTTTACTACGCAAAAATAATTAGAGGATTATTTGAAAAAATGATGTTTTTGCATGATCTACATAACAATTATAAATACATTAAATACTATATAAAACTTTTGCTTAAAATATATTATTTTATACATTTTATAATTTTGACAATTATTCACTCAGAATCAAATATGCCGAATGAGTTTAACAGAATTGTTTTAGCATCTAGATGTGTAATTAAGCACTTATAAAAAATACTTCTTATTTTAAGTTGTTCTGAATGTATCTAAATCTCATAAAAATCAGGTGAGACTTTCAAATATTTTCTTGTGTGTAAGTTCTATATTTGCATAAACTTACATGTTAAGCTTTAAATCCAATACCATCTGTAAGAGACATAATTGCATGTTCCTGAGTTATTGCTGCAAGCTCTTTAAGCCATTCATCTAATATAACAGCACATAGAACAATATTTTGCACTGGACTCACTTCATTCGGCGATTCCCATGAAGTTTTCACATATCTAATAAAGAAAAATAATTTAAAGTTTAATCAATATTTATTTAGATGAAGAAAAAACCAAAAAATTTTTTACGCGCATCGTAATAGTATGGAAAAGTTGCTAGTTATGAATAAAAAACACATTTTTGAAATTAGTTAATATATTTTTTGCTTGCGCATTACGCTAAAAAAATTTTGTAAATTTGAACTTTTACCAACTATATTATTAGCAATCTTATTTTTTTTATTTGATGATTCCTACATGTTAAACAAGAATTTATTTGAAATATCTTTAGATTTTTATCTTAATATATATCATTTCACAGTCTGCAATGTGCCTAATAAATATAATGTGCAAAAAAAATTTACAAAAGTTTTTATAATAGACCAAATCACTATCTCCGAAATTATCTGAGAAATGACTTATTTCATACTTTGATGCAATAATTCTTAAAATAAAATTAACAGTAATGTTAGAAATAATTAAAATAAAATCAAGATTACAATTTCTGAATTAAACATTTTTAATTTAAGTTTAAAAGAATTAAACATTAACATAAAAAAATCATGATGTACTTTAATATTTAGTTAGTTACTCTCTTGTTAATTGCTTCTCATTAATAAACAAATGTATAATTCAATATACACATGTCTTACATTTTGAACAAAAATAAATCTTATACTAGTTGATTAAGATTTACAGCTATTTATTATTTCACAAAGTAAAAAGCTTTTTGCCGATTTTTATAAATTTATACTAGTTTGTAATGCACAAGAAACTCTTTTTTTTTCTAATGTTATATAAAGTTATATATATAGTTACAATAAGAGAGATCGAAGTCTTCAAAAATTTACCTATATCCAGAACCAACCATTTGTAATTGATCTTCCGACATACTGGACGGCTGACTGATAGAATTTGTTAAGCTGCTTATACCTAAGCTATTACTTGATCGTTTGAACATTTGTGTAAATGATAATGTTAAACTTCTCCTTTTCGATTCCCCTGTAAATACAACTAACACAGTATTTCAAAAATATAGATATGTACATATCAATTATATGTAAAAATATTGTATTAATATACATACGTTTTTTAAATACTTTTCCGCATGCACGGCACAAAATTTTAAAAAATTCAATTAATATAGTTAAAGTTAGACAGAAAGCGACAGAACAAGAGAAAAATATAAAAACAGAGAGAAAAGACGAAGGAGGGGAAAAGAAATCAAGGCTCCTGCATCCTCACTACAGTCATATTGAATTATGACATTAGAAGCAAAGAACCATATAAATTTTTTTCTTGCAAAATACATCGAGATAAATAATTTTTTGTATGCAATCACTCACATTCGATAATATCCCGCATTAATAAATAATTGTACAACTCATCTGCATTTGTCCAACATTTTCAGCAAAAATAGATCTTATGATAACACAATGCAAAAAAAAAAAAACCAAGATGGGACTACCCGTTTTTTATAGGTTTTTGGACGCTGAACACGAATCCGGTTGTGAAATTGCTCCATCACGTCAGAATTTTGAGAAATTTCCAATTAAAGTTGCAAAAAAGGGCTATTTTCACGAACTTTGTCATATTATAGCTACAATATGTGACGTGCTGGAGAAGTTTTATTACAATCAAAATAAAGTATGTTAGGACTTTCAACCCTCAAAAGGAATTTTTGGTGTCGGTTATGATTAATAAGATATCTATGGTTAAATATAGAGTGTATTGCAGAAGTTAGCTGTGACTTAGGTCATTGACGATTTACCAAATAGCTTTTAATTATTACTTAAACTTAAGAGTTTTTTAGGTCGCTGAATTCGGATCCAATGTCAAAATTGTCAAATTCAAAATAATAGACTCAAATGTTTAGATTACAATCTAAATATTTTTTAAGATTTGGCATCCGCCATATTGAGTTTACCATTTTGAATTTGACAATTTTGACATTGAATTCGTATTCAGCGATCTAAAAAACTCTTAAGTTTAAATAAATATAATTGAAAGCTATCTAGTAAATCGTCAATGACTTAAGTCTCAGCTAACTTCTGCAATACACCCCATATTTAACCATGAATATCTTATTAACCATAACCGACACCAAAAATTCCTTTTGAGGTTGAAAGTCCTAACATACTTTCTTTTGATTGTAATAAAACTTCTCCAGTACGTCACATATTGTAGTTATAATATGACAAAGTTCGTGAAAATAACCCTTTTTTGCAACTTTAATTGCAAATTTCTCAAAATTCTGACGTGATGGAGCAATTTCACAACCGGATTCGTGTTCAGCGTCCAAAAACCTATAAGAAAGGAGTAGTCCGGTTCCAGTGTTCGAAAAAAAATCATTTTTTGTTGAACAGTGTAATTGTGATCGAGATTTACATTTATTTTTTTTTATTCACGAATCATATTTATTTCAATGTATTTCAAAAACTCATATGATTACATAATAATATGAGATTAGAAGCTTTAAAAGTTGAACGTGTTTTTAAATCATAATAGAGAAAGAAAAATATGTGTATATATTTAATTTAAAAATTTATTATTCTCTACTATTCACTATTCACGAATAGATAGACAATACCTCTTGAGAATGATTCACTAGTCAGAGAATGCTTTTTAACAGATGAGGATTGAGCAGCAGCTTCTAATACATTTTTTCTCGCATTTACTAGCTTGTCTTCTCGACTAATCAGAAATAATCTTGCTTGTTCAACCAATAAATCTATATTATTGTGTTTTGAGAGAAATTGATCTATTTTGTGCTTTAATGATGCAAGCACCTGTAATATAATAAATTAGCAGATGTTATCTTAATTTAATTACAATGTAATTGGTAATAATTATCTAGATAATAACAATGTTCTTTTAAAAAAATATACAACTGTTTGCAGCAATTATTGTTTGGAATTGTAATCGATAAATATATACCTGAAACAAGGATCTGATGCTAGGTTGAAACACAAGAGAATGATTCAGCAGAAAGGATTGCAATAAAGGTTGCGGATATATCGCCAGTCTACTAATAAGACCTGTGAGATGTAAATTGACATACAAGTTATTACTAGTCATACATTCAAGCTTTCGTAAAACTACGTCTAAAAATATGCCGACGTTTGGCTGTCCATTAAATATATCTTGTCGATACGAAGTATTACTCTTATTAGATTTACTCAATGACGTTTTTTCAGTTGTCAAAGGATTCGATTTTATAAAATTATGTCCAACAATATCATTAATATCCTTCTTAATTACGATATGCATTTCTTCGTGTTCATTCAAATGATCTTCGTTTGTTTCATTGTCCGGCGTTGACTCCGGCGATCCTTTAAATGCAAAGCTTTCATAACCGCTACTCTCTCCTAGCGACATGAGCGAATTCATGGTTGTAGCTGAATCGTCTATACAGCTATCAGATTCCTTTTTATCTAAATAAGTTTCTTCCGTATAATTTGTCATTCCTATATCTTCATTTAATAATTCCGCAATATCAGCATCCAATTGTGTCTGTTCGTCAAGAGATAATACAGCATCCATAGTCAATTCATTCATAGTCAATTCATTTTTAATATTATGTTCATTGCTGTTTAAATTTTTGCCTTCTAATAGACACTGAAAATTATATAATACATTATCTATTAGCCCACTCTCATCATTTTCGCACGAACTCGTTGCATTCTTAATTGTTTTTTCCAGTGATGATGTTTTAGATTCTTCTGTTTTCTTCTGCAATTGATCAGATGTAATATTTTCATTTATCAATGTGATTACGCTGCTGGTATTACTATTTTCTGATAAATCACCATCATACCGACAAGACCAATTGGAACACGCAATACGGCAAGTTTTTATTTTTTGTCTGGCATCACAGAGATATGCGTGATAATTTCCATATAAGCTGTCTGATAATCTCGTACCATAATTTATCGATGCTGGTAACGATTTCATTGAATCAGTTGCGATATATCCATATTTGTCATATGTATATGATGTAGTGCTAGGTAAAGAATTTGTTTGAGAATCCAATGATATAAATACAGTAGAACAGCAACATGGAGTTAGAGATAAAAATTTTTCCGCCGCACGTCCAAAGGGATCTATGTCTCTCAGTCGGCTACGTTGGGAAAGCATTATATGCGAACACGGACTTAATGCACTCAAACATAGTTCTAACATGATATCTTCGCAGTTTAAATTAACCAGAGTTTCAAACAATGCCAGAGTGACTATGCATAACTAAATTAGGAAAAAGCAAATAGTTTAGAGATAAGTTATGTTTAAAAAACGTTCTTTTAAAAAGATTGTAAGAAAAAGGATAATTTTTCCAATTTACCCTCGATCGAGAAGAAATCCTTTGTATCAAACTATCCAATATTCTACAGTCGTCATAATTATCTTCTAATAGAAATCTAATAAGCGACCGTAACAAGCCAGGATCGGTCACAGATCGAAGAAATAAATCAAAATAAGCTGTCGCTGCAACTAATTCTTCCACAGTCGTCTGTAAATATTTTTCCAAATAATTAGAATTTAAATTAGAAAAATATAACAACATCACGCTTTATTGACAAATTTGTTTCTAGTAACCATCTATAATATATTAGTGTGTATATATATATATATA